GTGAGGATATAAGACTAGCAGAAAGTGAAAATAATTAAGAACTGATTAAACAGAAGTGACTCATCTGCTTTCTCTGGAAAACAGAATTAAACTAAGTCAGCATGTGACATAACGCTACATTAGAAATACTTTTAAACAAGGATCATTTTGTGCATAACATACACAACTGTCTACAGGATCTCTGGTTTTCATCCACTAGAAGTTGATGCTGGTAACAGAAAGCAGGAACCAACATTCAGACACATCTTTCCCTTGTTCTGGATGGAGGACACACCTGTCTGCTGCAGGCTCACAGGCGAGTGATCTCTATATCCCTTCACTATGTGAAAGCCTTCAAACTGGGCACATAAATGCAGTTTCAAATAAGATCTTCAAGTGTAGAACACTACAAAACAATAGAATTTGACCAGGAAATACAGCTGAGCTTTCAACAGTTTCACAATTAACAGAACTGAAGACTGAACCAACATCAAGTGTATTCAAATCCAAGTTGCCAGAGCCCCTCACAAAGTGAGTCTGTTCCAAAGCTTCAAAGTTAACAGCAAGGGATTCTGGCAAGCTTTGTTAACACACCTTAATCAAGAGAGCAGAGAGGAGGACAGATAGGAAGAGAACAAGAACAAAATATGTTTCATCATCCATTTTCCTGAAAAACCTCCCCACAGGCAAATCCTCACACCTGCATGAAAAACATGACTTCCAACTTACCTACCCATTTAGTATGCATTGCCTTGGACAGGATTGCCTCCAATCCTGTCCTTTCTGTGTTTAGAGATTAGGATTTAGAGAACTTACAAACAGAACCATTTGCATACAAGGGCTTTACACTCCAGCAGCTGGTTCACATACCCCTGTAGCATTCCAGTGGGGGGAAAAAACATCTTTCGTCATCTCCAAGCACTTTCAGCCTCCTAGAAGAACCATTCATTTTCAAAAACAACTGCAAACTATTAATGAAAACCCTCATACATTTGTCCCTGAATGCTTTACTAAACATGCATCCTCAGAGCACATTTCATGGATAGAAAGTTCTTGTGCAGATTGACTCACTGTCATTCCTTTCAAGCCATTGGGACTTCACCACGTCTAGGCTTGTGACAAAGCAGCCCCATTGATACTGTGAGGACTTCTCAATCACTGCACAAATAAGCTCTTCTGTACTATCCCATTAACTGCCTGTGACCTATAACCTTTATCCACTAACATGGAAGAACCAGTTTCCACTTTGAGAGAAATTTTATACAGCCATTCTTCAGTTTGAAACCAAAGCATGGGAAAGTGCCTGTCCTTTCAGAAAAGCAGAACAAGAGTGGATATTGTTGCGGCCTCAAAACAAGTAAGATTTCCTTCCCTAGGGCTGAGGGCTAGCCTGGTAATCAATTACACTTTCTCTCATCTCAAAAGATGAAAAAAAGGAGCAGCACTTTTGTAACTGAGGGGAAGGACAAGAAAGTTTGTGATATTTCTGTCCTGGACAGCCTCATCACACTGAGAGAAAAGAAAAAGAAAAAAACAGAGTAAAACATTGCAGTTTTCAGGCTGCTCCAGCCAACCCCACAGTTATAAGCAAGTATAACTGCTTTGATCCTGTAGTCTCCAATTACTTTGTCAGTATTGGTCTATTTATGATTAGAAAATAAAAATGCTTTGGGGGCAAAGTGTTGTGGGTTTTTTTTTTTTTAGGACCTTGCTAGTATACTCTTATAACAACATCTTTATCCTCTGCTTGAACCAGAGTAAATCAATCATCTTAATCCCAACTTACTGCATACCCCAGTTTTGCTTAAAGCTACATAGAGCTGCTAACCCTTCTCTCTTAGGGGCTCCAGATTCTTGCACACTTGGTTACCAGCAGCTTTGTGTTTGTAAGAACAAGGATCCTGGTAATTAGAAGCATTCCTGGAAGCACTCCAACAAGATACTGGGAGAACACTCTCTACTAATGCTTAAAGGAAAAATAATTTAATGCCATGATTGCTAACCTTAAGCCATATGATATGCTTAGACGACATTTGTTTAGAGACTAAATCCAAGTGTGTCTACCTGCACTTCCTTCTAACCCAGAGCAATGGGAAAAGGCCCAGGGTCTGAACTTCCCCAGGTCTGCTCAGATGTAATCAAAACTAATTAAAGTCATGAATTTTATGTCTTCTTGACGTGCTTTTTGGAAACACAAACAGCTTCCAGGGCATGGCAAATCTGGCTGATAGTACTGAGAAACAACCTCACCTTTCAAGATGTTTGGAAAGCCAGACTGTTATTTTGAAACATGGAGAAACTTCCTTCATTCTACCAAAGAGCCTGGGTAAGGACTGGTGTTAGTGAGAACTTTGTGGAGATCCAAACTACTTCAGCATGCAGTAACTACGAGCAGAGAAAAGCCATGCTCTGGTCAGTGTTCTCTGAAGCATTCAACACACTGAAGAATGACATCTATGGATCAACGATCCACAAACTGGACTGGATTCCACAGCAGCACTGAGAATCCAACCTATGTACCACGCAGAACGAGCAGCCAACTGCAAAATCCATACCAACATCAACATCCAGCACTCCAGACATCTAGACAAGCTTTTTTCCACCTCTCTATTCATGCAAGGCACTTACTTCTCTTCACAAGTCTGAAGCCATTAAAAGTCACAAAGGACCTCTCATCTCCCACCATCAGACCTTGCAAGCCTTTACCCACAGGCCATCAGGTCTGCTTCTCTGCCCAAACATTATAGTGTATCACAGCACAGAGATGGAAGGATCACTTCACCTATCACACAAATAAAACGCCATAGATACAACGCCACTGTGGAAACCCATCAGTATCTAAAACTTGTACAAGAAAATAAAGCATTAGGTCAACTGATACTTTATATAAAGCACAGGTCCAGGTTGTAAACATTGTGCTTTTTGGCTTCACTTTGCATGAAAAGCTGCATCACAAGAGATGCACATTCTCCTGAGGATGGACAGCCTAGGAGGCAAGGGCAGGAGGAGGCAAGGAGTTGTAAGAAGCCACTAACACAAACACCCCAATGCTGGGTGTTCTCTACTCAAGTAGAAGCCACAGCTGTAAAGGCCAATACCACTAAAAAAAAAAAAAAAAAAAAACCAAAAAAAAAAAACCAAACAACCAAACAAGTTTTGGCATAGCAAGAAGCAAAACTAAAGCAATGCAATGTGCTGTCTTCAAGTCATGCTTTTAAAAAATCTAAATGAACTGAAGCAGCATCCTTATGGAGCTCCTAAAGAACAATGCCCAGAATGCTTGTACAAGTAATTTAATATCGAAATATCCAAGTAAAGGATTTACAGGATTTCTGTCAAACATTATATTAAGTTTCAAACAATGTAGAAGCCAAAAAAAATATGGCCATTAATTACTCATTAATACTTCTGTTTCATCTCCCTGCTACAGCAAACTTCACTTCCGTTGACTCCTGCTGAAAAATCAGAATCCTCATCTGTGCTTACAGCAGATCCAATTTTTAGAACTTGTAATAACATCTGGGGAAAGAAAAACGTTAAGTACTATCAATAAAATGATATATTTTCAAGTTTAAAGAAACCTCATTACTCTGATAAGTTGTTCACACGATCAAGAGAATCTATCATTGGGACTAACTCAAATCTCACAGGCCCACTGCTAGTGAGCACAGAACAGCAGTTTTAAGAGTACATATGTTGCTAATGGAAGAAGTGTAACCCCAAAGACTCCCTGAGCAGAGACAGAGACATCCAGCTCACAAAGAGCCCACAGACTCTTGCACTAAGTTAATTCTTAATTCCCAGCTGCTTTGGAGAAGTAGCAAAAGCAAACATTTTTCTTCTGATAGCCATCCAGTTGCCTACCAAGTATGACCTACGTTCTGCACTCCCACGATGCACACACTCACAAACACCTCCTGGGTGCTGTATGTACTCAAGCTGTGGAGCCAGCAACCTGCAATTCCACTGAGAGTTTGTGATATATGGCATTTTTAAAATCTAAGAGAATACTTATGCTTATACAGTGTCTGTACACTAAATTAACACAGCACAGACAGATGAATATAATTTGGAGATTACTTGCAGACACTGTAAAGGACTGTTTTAAACCGAGGAAGGCATCTGCCATCCAGTGGCACACTGAGAAACTTCAAGGGATGGCATCTCAAAGGAGGGAATCCGAGCTCTATGATAGCGATGAGACAGCTTTGTACACAGTTCTCATCTCTGCTTTATAAAAGCTAGAAGTGAAAAAAGGAGCTTTCCGTATGCTGAGGGTCTCAGAAATAAACAAAAAAGAAACCTTTAAAGAAAAATCCAATTACATGATGAACTGCTTAGAATGACAGAATGGCCTGGGTTGCAAAGGAGCACAATGTTCATCTGGTTCCAACCCCTGCTGTGTGCAGGTCACCAACCAGCAGCCCAGGCTGCCCAGAGCCACATCCAGCCTGGCCTTGAATGCCTGCAGGGATGGGGCATCCACAGCCTCCTTGGGCAACCTGTGAACAGTGCCTCACCACCCTCTGGGTGAAAAACTTCTTCCTCATATCCAACCTAAACCTCCCCTGTCTCAGTTTAAATCCATTTCCCCTTGTCCTATCACCATCCACCCTCGTAAGCAGCTGTTCCCCCTCATGTTTATACTCTCCCTTTTGCTGAGCATCTTTTAACTGTGTCAACTAAAAGCAACTCCAAGGAGAGCAAAAGAGAAACATGAAAGCTTTAGAAAGAAGCTGAGATGCTAACTATGTATTCAGCAAAACAGGTTACACACAATCCTACTGACTGGACAGTGGCAGAAGAAGCTTTAGATATTTAAAGGACAAACAGAGAATAGAGATAGCTAGTTATCACCTACACTGTGAATGATTCTATGTTCCATTACCTTCAGGCACTCCTTCAGGAAGGCAGAAGGCTTTTGTTTTAACTGGAAGTCGCCGATGCCTGTAAGGTCTACGAGCTGGCGAAGTCCTGACAATGGAGCAGATTTCTTTCCTGTAACACCAAGTCTGAAAAGGTGGATGACATTTCATTCACACAACTGAAGAGATGTTCTTCTAGAATGTCCAGGGACATTCAAAAAGCATGGAACAAAGAAAGCAGGGGGACATTGAAGGGATGTCACCAGAAAACATTTAAGACTGACTTGCATACCATTAACATGCAATAGGAATGGGAGACAGAAAGTTTCAAAGCTTGAACAGTCTTCAACTGCTCGCCATGCTGTAAGGTTTTAACAACAGCACTGTATACACATGTGCCAGGACTGGACTTACAAAGTGCAATTACATCAGAACCTGAAAGAAAATAACCTTTTTTTCTGGACTTGGAGGAAGAACTTCTTTTGCTGAGCTCAAAGACCCAGGAACAGTTTCTTCTGAGTTGACACTGGGACCTGTGGTATTCAGGGACAAATCTTCCCCTGATGAAACTCTGCACACTGGTGACAAGCTAAGCTATAATTTCTCCAAAACACCACATATGCAGCAATAACTGCCCAATTACATGACAGACAAATGGCCAAACTGGCCAACATCCGTTGGCTCATGCAAAAGACTGTTTTAATTGCTTCAAAAATATGATTTAGGACTCCTAATCTTAAATGATTCTTGTTTTCTGCCTCTAACAAGACCCTGATGTCCTCTGTTAATCTAGTGCCCATAAATCAAAGCTTGTTCACAATAACGTATCGAATTCTACAACTCAAATCCTTCCAAATTACCTGGTGCAAGTCTTTCTATTGAAACAGTTCTCAATAAAACCATAGGGAAAAAAAAAAAAACCCACAAATCTGCAGACTTGTTGAGAGCTATGGCATAAAAGCAAGAGACATCACTTCCATTCCAGTGCTGAGAGAAGTGGCAGTACTGCCTTTACTGAGAGAAAACCCAACTTGGCATTAAACAGCAAGTTTGTTTAGAACAAAGAGGAAACACAACTAAGGCTACCAAGTGCTGATTTTCTATTGGAAGACGTTATAAAACATCTGACACTGTTCAGCTGGTTGAATTTCAGTTTGCTGCGCAACTTAAACTGTACCATAAGAACAGCCAGAATTAGATTGCACAATGAAGACTGATTGGTTCGGTTTTAATCACCAGAAATGCACATCAGGATAGACACATCTAGGACATTTATTCTTCTCCATGATCAGTGTTGCAAAACTCATTTGATAAGACAGAGGCATTCCAGATCAGATGCTTGCTGTATTGTTCCTACAGTATTCTCTTGGTACACCACCCTGCTTCGTGACAACTCCACTGAAAGTAATTAACAGGTTTTAGAGCTGAAGTACTGAATTTCAAGTGTTCACTTTTTTGTCTCATGCCCTGTGAAATTAAGGCAAAGAATCAGTTGATTGCAGCACAGGAAAAGTACTTCTGAAGTCCCTTTCAAAACCAGGGGATAAAACACTCCATAGCACTTTTCATATTTAACTGCTACCTTTGTCACGATTCCAAATTCTCACTTCAATTTTATGCCTTTGTTAATTAGCAAAGCACGATGTAATTACTTACCACTGCATCATCTGTCTGTCCAGAGGGCAGAACCTCTGTTGTCACCTTCACTGATTTGGCTGAAGCTTCTGCTGGGGCAGATTCAAGCCGACCACAAGGTGATGCATTACCTTCTAACAGATCAGACAACTCTTCTTTTCTGATGCTCTTCAGCCTTTTGGGTTCAGCAGTCCGACTGTCAGGCTGAAGGACGAAACAATGACATTTCACATTAAAAAACTGAATCTCTACTGTCTGGTAAGCATTTAACAGAGAATCCCAGTGACAAACTCAAGCTCTGTACAGCTGGTTTGGTAGCAGCGACAAAAATCAGTCTGAAAAAGTGAGCCTAGGGGGCACCCATGACTATGACAGCTAGCCAGAGGTATAAACAAGCTGCACTGGCAGCCTCTGCCATTGCCTGCAGGCACCTCTTTAAAGGAGCTGACAAGACTTGAATGCACATCTACACTTCTAGGTGGGGACTTCCACCTGCACAAGGAAGGGGCAAATCATCTGTGTTACAACCGAGCTGACTTATGGAAGGCTGTTCACCTTTCTTTCCGCTCCTACTGGTGAAGAACAGCACGTGCCACTTTTTAGGGCTGGAGTTCTCTCTCTTGCAGTTGTAATTTTACAGATTTTTTTCCCTGTGATAAATTTCCAACAAACAAATTAACTTCATCTCATAGCCCACAGCCACCCTCCAACCTACGTCTTACAGGATGTTTTTTTAAAGAGGGGTTGTTCCAAAGCCACCCATATAAATACCTCCTCCTTTCAATACAACCCTCATCTGCCTTGCCTCCTGCTGTCAACAGGGCAGCATTTTTCCTCTTCCCTTTCCTTAAGGAAACAAGGTTGCTTATTAATCATATGCTCACCTGGTTATTCACCACCAGACACGCATACTGTGTGAGCAGAGGAATTGCATAATCACAGCAGTCCTTGCCAGTGGCAGCTTCTGCTGCTACTGCAGTCCAAATTAAACAGAGAAAAATAGTGTGGTACCTGGGCTACAGCCAGAATTGCATCAGTCACAGTTCAGAACTGTAGTTACAGAAGAGACTCCTGTATTCGTGAAGGCTGACATTAAGTAAAGTGAGCAGCATGACCAAAAGCTGTGTCTGAAAAAGCTAAGTGAGAAACTCCGTTTTCACTAAGCATCACAGGTGAGCATTAAAAGTAAAAACGCAGCTCTGTTTTGCTGTTGCTAACTAATTTGTTATGAGACAAGTGTTATTTGCAGGAAGGATCTTCAACTCACACTTCCCCTTCTAGTCCAAACTGCCCTCAGCTTGTGGTGTTTTACCTGCCACAGTAGTTGAAACACTCAGTTCTGAAGAACTGTAATTGCATTTGGGTCTCTTTCTGGGGGGAGGAGAAAAAAAGTGAGCTGCTCTCAATGGATGTTAACATTCATCAAAAAACATACAAAGGAAATCAAAGAACAAATAGAGCCTGAGTGAAAATTGGCTAAAATTTGCTAAACATAGTTACAGCTCGTTCATCAGACAGTTCATCATCTACCACCCAGGAACAGCACTTACTCTAAAGATACGTGCAATTTAAAAGCTACAGAGGACAATCACTGACACAAAAAGCACTTAATAGAGATGATCTGTCAATAGAAGAGCTGGCATCCTAACAATAAGGAGAGCAACAAAGGGGTTTCACATGCACCATTCTTCTCGTTAAGGAAAAAAACATACTGCAAATAAAACTAAAAGGAAAAGAACAACCAGACAGTAGGTAGGAACCTGGCCTGAGATTCATAAAGGCTGCATTCAGTAATCTTTGGAAGTGTCTCATATTAGTTAATGACTCCTACAGAAAAGGTGCAGAACCTGGCTTTGTCCTCTGCGAGCCCACAGCACGACCAGGAGCTGACAGCAGGAGTTCCTCATGCTCTGTACTGCACAGGCAATCCCTGCACTGCCAGCCAATCTTTGCAACTGAAGGCAATCTGATAGAATCAGCGTCAGTGGAAAAAGCCAATTTTATGGGCTTGATAGATAAGTGTCAGCTCCATCAAATCCTGCACTGAGCTTTGTCGCACTGATGTTCCTGCAGCTCCAATAGTGAAGCAGGAGCCTATTAAGAAAACCCATACCTGCTTGTCTTCATGCACCAGTTTTAAAGCCGGTGGGGACACGGGCAGTTGAAACTCACCAGACACATTTGCGGGATCACAGGCTTACTCATATTGCCCAAAATATCATTTATAATAGAGAAATGTGAGCATTCTGATGCATCGGCCTGCTTTGCAGATTACCTTTTTATGCACTGGTCTTTACAATCTTCCAATACAGGTTCTGAAAAACACAAAAATCTAAACATTAAAAGAAAAAGCCAAGCGAGCCAGGCCTCGTTTTATGCACACTATAAAGCAAAACATTAGAAGCAAACACAGAACTTGAACAAGGAGCTGTTCCCCATTAAATAAAATAATCCTTACGCATTACACAACGTTCCTTGCACTGCAGTGATATTTGCTTATTTATAGACTATTTTGTATTGTATGAAATCATTACCTAATATTGGTGAAAGATTTGAGATCTGTAGTATCTTATCTATGGCCACTGCTCTGCTGCAGTCCAGAAGAGTGGAGTTCTTGCATTTCACAAAGTCCTCGAAGTCAGGATTACTTGCCCCTGCACACAGAAGATAGAAGCACAAGCTTCTCACACTAAAACTCACTGAGCTATTTCAACTTTTACCAAGTGACAGAAATCTCATTTGCAAGACTTCACAGCATAGCAAAAGCATCGTCTTAGTCCAAACATACAGAAATGGCTGGGAGAAATTCAGCTCAAAGCAAATTAATCAGTCACCCCCAGCAAACAACTTGTGCCAACAGCAGATACTTAAAGTTGAAAGTATGATTCAAATGATATCAGGCCTGGATTCACTCTGCATTGGAGGACCAGGTACCCAGGTTGCACGTTAAGCACAGGGTGGCTCACAGCAAAGCTCTGACCCAGCGAGTCACAACCAATAGAGGCTACTGGCCCTCCTACTCCAACCTCCTCAATCATTCCAGCATCGAGCAAACATAGAAGCCTCACCTGAACGTTCCTCATCTCTTAACGTTTCAGGGGATGGGAAACTTTCTGTGGTGTCAGTAGCAACTGTGTCACGATCTGCAGAAGAATCTGCATCTAAACATTCGAGGAGAAAATCTGAAACACCTGTAGGAAGAGTCATCCCTGTGCCTGGAGGGAGAGGCAAAAAAGGCAGCTTCAAATAAACTGCATCACTTTACACACACACTTCATTTTTTTTAAGCTTTTAAAAGTGTACCTTTAAGTAAATTGAAGAACTCATGTTGAAAAGTGGCTCTTCAACAACAAAATCACTATGATGTGGTTTAAAAGGGGCTGGGCTCAAGGCTGCCTCAATTGTGGCAGCAATCCTCTCAGCACACACTGTTACTGGTCCTTCTCTCTTCTTTTTTTCCTTCATAAGGAAGCCAGGCAGTTCTCAAAAGACTTTAAAATAAACACCTGCCCAAGCAGTTTGAGATCAGCACTTTTTCATCTTCTGAAAGAACTCTTGTCACAAATAAGAGTTGAAGCACTCTGTGCACACACCTGCCTGGAACACCTCCTGTGCTGTTGGCTGCTTACACTCAGTTTGTGTGAACCAAGCACATGCTGAATCATTGAAACCCAATTTTCATTTTTACCTGTTGCTCTATACAGACACAAAAGCACATTCCATAACACGATGCACAACCACTACACTCACCTGAAGTAACATCAGTGTTTTTCAGGCTCTCTTTACTTTCAAAGTTGATTACTGGAGATTCCTAAAATTAAACAACCAATACAAAGAACATAAGAAAACCAGATCTAGACATTAAGTCTAGATTGCATTAAGTGCAATCAATGTCAGAACACCTGCAATAACAGATACTCAGGAACTGATTACATGATACTTTATCACTAAAACTTGCTATTCAGAGCACAGTTTGCACCACTGCTTTTCATGCACCAATAACAGACCTGCAAGCTGACTTACAGCCATAAAACTCACACTGAATATCCATTAATTTGGATAGTTTTTCACTCACAGGTTGCCCAAGGAGGCTGTGGATGCCCCATCCCTGCAGGCATTCAAGGCCAGGCTGGATGTGGCTCTGGGCAGCCTGGTCTGGTGGCTGGCAACCTGCACACAGCAGGGGGTTGAAGCTGGATGAGCATTGTGGTCCTTTTCAACCCTGGCTGTTCTATGATTCTGTCACATCTTTTAATTTACCCTTCACACATCAGCAGTGTTAGAACAAAACAGCATTCTCACCTTCAGCAGTACCGTGCTGCCTTCCACATCCTCTTCATTCTTTCCCAAGAATGGCATTTCTTTCACATTCACTTGAGTGCTATAACTGAAAAACAGAGCAGAGCTCAACCCATAGAGCTGCACTATGCAGAGGGAGCTGACAGCCCAACGCCTGCCCAGCAGACAGCCTGACCAGCATCAGCCCATCCAGCACCCAGACTGCATTTACAACAGACGGCAGGCAAAACAACGATAAACCAGTGATAGTTCTGTATATGAAAGCGTTCCAGCAGACCTTTGGTTGGAGGAGGGGCTCCCTTGGGTGACTTCAAGATTCTCCTTGATTTTTGGTAAGGTTTTCACAGCACATTTTCCCTTTGGGCCTGGGGAAGAACAAGTATTCAGTTCAGCAACAGGAATGAGATGAGCGTTTCTATCGCAGCACCTTGAAACGCTCCCACTTGTTGATGCTGATTGCAATTCTAGCCCTGTTTTCACACACACCGCAAAGCCTGGATTTAGTTTATTCCCACCCATGCATTTATTGCCTCATCAGTATGCCAACCAAAGAAAAAAAATCCAGCCAAATTTAGGAAATACTCTAGAAATCCCTCAGATATTCCAGAAGCCCGTTGAACAATAATAATAACAATAATAAAAGCACTTTGGGAACAACTTTTGCCATGCCAAAGCTAAAGGGATATTTATTCTAAATGGATTCCGTCCCACTCAGCCAGGACAACACCACAACCGACCCCAGCACTGCCCCCAGTGCCGCACACCGCACTTACAGCCGGGCTGCGGCTCCCCGCGCCGCACGCTGCCGAACAGCCGCCGCCGGCACTGCGCCGCCCCGGAGCGCCCCGCGGTGGGCAGTTCGCCGGGCAGCGGGGACGAACGCCGCTTCTTCCGCGGGGCCTTCCCTCCCCAAGCCGAGCTCCTCCAGTAGGGCCGCTCCATGGCGAGCCGCGTTTCCTCCCCCCCCAACCCAGCCGGGCCGCGCACCGACCCCGCCGCCCTTTCAAGAAGCCCCGAGCGGCCCCAACCGCCGTCCCGCAGCCCGCATGCGCAGCGCCCGCTCTCGGCAGCCGCCAGGCGGCGCTGTGCTGCGTGCGGAGAAAAGAGCTGCGCATCTCGGGCGCCAGGAGGAGGTTAAACGGGGGGGGGGGAGGAGTTGGTGTTTGGGGGTGGTGGCAATAAACAATCCCGGCACGGGGAGATTTGTTCGGCGTTTTGAGCTCGCTAGGGAGAAACGGAGGGTGCCAGGATGCAGACAGAAGGCACAAAGGTGGTGCTGAGATTCTCGAAGCCGAGCCGCAGCGCTGGTTTCTGGTGAAAAAAAAGTGCGCTGAAAGCGTGCCGCTTGCCGAGCAAAATCCTGCCTGGCCCCGCCTCTATCCGTGTTCCGGGCTGAGGGCCGGGGCTGCTGCTCGGCTCCTCTGTTGAGCGCAGGCTGTGCAGCGGGGCGGTGGGCATGGCGGAGCTGTGCGCCCCAACTCTGCGGCTCTTGGGACCCCGAGTTGTGTTCATACGCAGAAGAATCTCATTGTTCCACCAGCAAGAAAGTACAGAGCATCCCTGGGCATTGCGGGATGGCCGGTGAGCGCAGCACAGAACAGAGCAGAGATGGACAGCTTTTAGACTTTATTGTTCGAGACACGCGGTCCCAAAACACACCGTGCATTCCCAGCAGTCAGTTCACATGAAACAAGCACACACGCTTTGTTGTATCACTATTGGTTTAAAATAAGAAACAAAACCATGACACAAGGATGCTGCGTCTTCAGAGAACTTTGCAACATACATGTTGTGTTTTTGTGTTTGTTTGTTTGTTTGTTTTTATAGATGATTGCTAAAGTCAATCTCAGGTTCCAGCATTGCTTTGGTTATTTACTGGGTTTTTATGACACGTTTCCTGTAGGCACACGTTCTGAACAAGTTCAGATCGATGGTGAGAACAGAGTGCTGGAGAGACATCAGGTCTTACAAAGAGCCTTTATTGTATGCCAGCCCATGAGATTTGAGAAACGGGACCATTTAATTCTTTACAAAAGTTTCCACAGGTGACTTTTTGACGTACACACCCAAGTACCAACGTGGAAAAAATCAGTGTGTTTGCTTACACAGATGTTTATGTTACATCCTCATCCCTTCACTTCCAGAATAGGCAGCACTCACAGAACGCATCGCTCGTTTGCTGCTTGTACTTTGCTAAAATACATAACAAAACTGAAATGAAGGGCTTAAAAGGACTCTGGGTGCCTCAAAATGTTTTATTTTGCAACAATTCCATACATCTGAAGCTGTTTCTCTCTGGTTATCCAGGAATATGGATTTCTCCCCCATAACGAATAGGCTCAGTCTCACCATTGAATGGGAGAAAATGTGGCGTGGAAACCATGGAACGTGCCAGGTACTGAAGAAAGTGAATTCCAAGAACAACCAAAGATCCAATTCTGGTGTGTGTTTTTTCCACAGACGGGATCAAAGTGAGATAAAGGAACAAGAACTACGCAGAGAGAATTGCCTGTAAATAAAACGCTTTGCCGACGTGTGCGTAAGGCATCGAGAGGTCTTTAAGTTATCAGCCACCATGCAAAAATAGTATATTCTTTCCCAGTATACATTCATCTTGTAGCGATGTATTTACAGATAGATCACCAGTTTGTGCTTCTGACGCGTGGAAAATAACAAATCCTTTAGCTTGTTTTGTCCCGGGAGATTGGAAAAGTCGGATCGTTCTGTTCTGTGCAAGGATTCGTAACCGTGGCAGAAATGACACTGGATTTTGCTGATGCTGATATATCCGTAGTAACAGTGATGACAGATTGCAGGACAGGACTTCATCCATACCCTACAGCTCTCACCTGGGCTGTGCAAGCCGTGTCAGCCTGCAGGCGTGCCTGTTCTGCACATCTCCTGCCAGCCTGGCATTGAGACTGTCTCACGGTTCCTGCTCACACTTTAGTGTGTCTTTTCTGTGCAATATATTGAGCAAAGGACATACAAAATATATAACTAAGCAATTTGCTCTTCCTGGAAGAAGTATTTTATTCTGACTTTCATCTGTGATCACCGGAGGCAGCGTTCCAGCGATCCGACAGGCATAGCACCAGGCCCAGGAAGAACCTCCCGTTTTGGATACATAGAAGAACGCAATAGATCAGGCTGCAGCACACATAGCCTTTGGGGAAGGGGCTGTAAAACTACCCGGTCACACGTGGTTCCTCAAAGCAAGCATGTTTTTGCACAGATCCCACCTGCAGCAGCAGCAGAGCTGTGCCAATTTCAGAGGGCTTCTCTTGTAACTTTTACTCGGTTGCAGAGTTAATGCCCCAATGACACTGAGTAGTTACATACAGTCATCTTTAAGCCATCAAGAACAGCGCTGTTTACAGAGAAGCATAGCATGCATTGCCATCTATGCAATAGCAATGAGTCCCAACTCTTTCAAAAAGAAAGCATTAGAAATGAGTGTTGACATTGGTTATCGTGAGAGAAGAACAAACTGATTTAGTGGACAACCCCAGGGTTTTTCCCTGCTGCTCGCAAGAAGTGCAGCGATTGGAGAGAGCTCAAAGCAAAACAAACACTGCTGCGAGGTGGGGAGAAGCATTTCTGCCTGGCTCATGCCTTCCTCATGTACTCACGGCAACTTTTAATCTCATAATATTTGGTATGCTTATGGAGAATCATCTGAGGAGCAATATCTGATTGCATGAGAAAGGAACAGAGGCAGCTTTTGGTTTATTCATACAGCTTGTCGCAAGTTCTGAAAATATTCACACTTCAGGGTTGAATTTCCCTCAGATTTCTCCCCAGATTTTGCATCATCCTACAGTTCATGCGGTAGAAACAGGTCAGGAGAAAATAGCTTTCCTGTACTTACTTAGATGACAGATATTTGCTGTTATTCAAAAAAGAGGAGAGGAAATGGTGCCAGGTCCTTCATTGTGCTGGAGCATCTGTATGTGATGACTGCTTTTGGGCTCCACAGATGGGATGAGCTGCACTCCTCCAGGATGAGACTCCTGCATGACCTGCCCTAAAGAGCCAGACTGCCTCTGGTACTGCACACCCCACGCTCAGACTCCCCAGGGGCTCTCTTGCTGTGTACAGTGATGAGAAATGAAGGTCCAACGCCGTCAGGTCACAGCAGCGATTTTTCTTACTTGCTTTCAACAGATATGAATCATTAGGTCGGAATCTGATGAAGAATCAGGCACAGATGGGATTCAGACCAACCCTCCCACGTTTGATAGATCAAATCGCCTCGTTCTGTGCGTGAGTGATTATGCTAACAATTTCCTTTCTCTTTGTTCTGAAATTACTGCCATAAATCAGCCTATGTGTAAAACTAACCCATTAATTCAATTTATTTAATTTTTAAAGCGTGCAATGGGATTTCAGAGGGGAAATGAGAGAGACGTTGGATTAATAATTTATCTTTTAGTTTCAGGAGTCTACAGTGGCTTCCAGTCTAAGGGAGAATCATAGAATGGCCTGGGTTGAAAAGGCCCACAATGCTTATCCAGCTCCAACCCCCTGCTGTGTGCAGGTCACCAACCAGCAGCCCAGGCTGCCCAGAGCCACATCCAGCCTGGCCTTGAATGCCTGCAGGGATGGGGCATCCACAGCCTCCTTGGGCAACCTGTGCCAGTGCCTCACCACCCTCTGGTGAAAAACGTGTGCCTTTGCTGCCCTAGCAAGAGAGGTCTAGCAGACAGAGCCCCATGGTGCTGGTGCAGCACACGGCAGCTGGTAATGCACAGAGATGGATGTAGGGCCAGGTTCAGCGGTCCCAGTGCTCACACTCCCTGATCTCATGACTTCTCACTGCTTTGCACTGTGCTTTTGTTGGCAGTTTGCTCTCCAGCCTCCATTCCTGGCCCCTTCCAATGGCTCCTCATGGATCCCGTATTTCCTTCCAAAACTTGCTGCTTATTGCAGAGAGGTCAATGCAGGTGATAAGTGGATCCAAGCGTCTGCACGTGGAAGTGCTTTCCTAGCACCCACATCCAATGCATTTCCCCTCAACATTTTGGGGCCAGAATTGTCCACATGGCCACATGGAGCAACATTTCCTCCTCTTCTCCAGCATGGCTGCATCCCAGGCCAGCTGTTCTCCAGACAAGACCCACATTGCCCAGCTCTGCTCACACCACATGCTCCAAAATGGAACCAGCCCAACCAGGCTGCAAAGTAATAAACCAAGGACCAGACACAGGTGACTCTCATGCAGGCCTTGCTTTGCTGTGCTGCAGCATCCCTGGGGCTCTGGGCTGCCTGAAATGGCCGTGCAGGAGGTGCTGGGCTCAGCTGGAGGGGGCTGGGGGCTCCTGCCCTGCAGCACTGCCAACACGTTGTTGGGATCCCAAGCAGCGGTTGTCCATCAGGTGTCACACACTGAGAGGCCTGCTGAGCACAAGTACCAGGAGATTTGTTCTTGTTTCGATTCTGGCTGTTAGGTTGTTAGTGATTAAGTCAAACTGATGGAATTTACATCCTGGAAAATATAAAAACTATCACTTAATATACAAACCGATATCCAGCTCAGAGTTACAGACCACAGAACACAGGCTTTCACCGTCAGTCGCCGATAGCTTGAGGTAGACCACAGTACTGATTTATCCACAATTTCAGTCTCTGACGTGTAGGTTATTTACAATCAAATATCAACAGACATATCTGAAACTTTCCCCAGTTTAGTCTTGAAATGCTCATAGTCATTAATAAGTTTCCGTAATTTCCTCAGTCATGGATTGAAATTGCTGTATATTTTGTGGCAATTTAGCATAATTCTTGATGGTGCCCTGCTGTGTCCATAGAATAAAACTGATATCAAACCCGATGAAAAACAGAAGGAAAAGGGAAATGGTGGTTAGTGGTGAAATCCTAAAACAAGAAAAGGCTCAGACGCAAGATTCAGATGCTCATCCGCTTCAGCTGTGTCATTCTGGCTCTGTAGTTTTGAG